CATTCCTCAGAGGAAACTTCACTTTGAATGGGGGTACTAGTGCGAGTATGTCTTCTTTGATCCAACATCTTCCTTCATTCTTGCTAAAGACTTCTAGGCACACCCATTTTCTCTTCCGTCATTAATTTGGTACGAGAATTTGTCTTTTCTATCCTTTCGCTCCACTTACATATACTTACGAGTCGTAGATCAACGAGGAACGACTCGCCGTCGGAAAGTCCACTGTAGGATTTATTAATCCAGTTCTTTATGCAAATCCACATGTATTGAATGATATCACCAATGGAAGTAATCCGAATTGCGGTACTGCTGGGTTTAGTGCCGTGTCTGGGTATGTTTCCTCTTCTTGGGGAGTGATTGTTGGTGAGCAGCTTGCTAACATAATGGTGCTGTAGATGGGATCCTGTTACTGGGCTTGGAACACCTAATTATCCAAAATTGTTGGAGCTCTTCCTTAGTCTACCATAATTGTTGGGGCGATCTTGTGGCAAGAGCACAAAAGAGCCGTGTGTGTTGGAAGGGGCTTACCTACTTTCATAGAGACATACTGAAGTTGCAACAAGATTTTGATCTACAAAATACAATTTAAGCAATCTCTGATTTCATGTCATAGAATTTCACAGCAATAAGAATACATCAACTTTGCATTAAATATCGTACATTACACCCGTCCTATTACACACCAATACCACCTGATACGCCAATACCCCCTCCAACCCATTTACCCACCCATACAAATCCCACCCCGTACCTATTTACAAGTACTAACACTCCAATCCACCGTATTGTTTCCCTGTCCCGGCACCTTTGGTTTAAAATCCAAATAAACCAATTCTCCCTTCTTACTCTCCCACTCACCATTCGTATCGCGATAATACACAATCTTGTCACTCCCCGCGTCGCGTACTTCGACAGTAGTGTGAGAGAGTACCCCGTCGGTGCTCCATTCGATTTTGTAGCAGGAATCGCCCGTCACGAGGAAGGGGGCCGTGCAGCGTTGGTTGTGGTCGCTATCGAGACAGCTTTCGACAGCGTAGTCGAGGACGTGTCCGGAGGCTACTTCTTTTGCTGAGGAGGGTTAGTAGGGTTTGGGAGAGGGAGTGGCAAGGGATGGAGAGGTAGGGGAAAACTTACGTTTGGTGAGGGTGCCGGTCATAGCGAGACCTGCGGTCAAAATACTTTGGGCATTTGGGAGATACATTTTTTGGTTATTGTTGATGTTTGATTGATTGATTGATGGATTGATGGATTGGATTGTATTAGATTGATCGAATTTTGAAATTAAATGTTTATTTAAGAGTACAAGAAAGCAAAAGGGTACCTCTCCATCCTTATTATGTAGGTAGCTATGTGCCAAGGGATATCCCTAGCGTCTATGACGATGCAATGTCTTAGCGGGGAAGCGGAGGTGGCGGGAGCGACAGGAACCAAGCCGATCTGCGCCACTATATTTAGGAAGTGTCTAGACTGTTATTTCCAAGGTTATTTCAACTTGTTTGAAGGAAATGGAATTCATAAAAAATTCTTATTCATAACTTATTGGTACATGTATGATACGATTGGTCATGGATTCCGCTCTCGGATTCTAAATCATAGTGACGAGCCCGGGGATCGTGCTAATTTTGCCAGTTCGTGAGCCGCGGTTATGCGACCTGGTTTTGCCTTGTATGGTAAACTTAATTCCCTTGCTTTTTTGCGCATCGAAATCGCTTCTTCGCTATCCCCTACGACTTGCAAAAATGCAGTGCTTAATTCGTCCGCTTTCCACTGCTCTGGTATTAGAAACAGCGAGACATAACGTGACTTGGAAAAGAATACTCACATAAGGAGCCGCCTTCCTACTACCCCAAACCCCCACACCCAAATACTCAGCCTTCACTGCATAATCATAAAGATCGACCCACAGTGGTAATACAACTTGAGGAATTCCCGTCCCAATAGCTTCGTAGAAACAATTTGCTCCTCCATGATGAACCGAAGCAATGATATTTCCTGTCTCTAACAATACGGCCGGATCGACTTTTATCCATTTGGACATCCTTATACGTCCTGATTCGAGATCCGGAGAGAGTATATCGAGGAATTCATCGGTGAATGGGTGGCGTTTGTTAAATTTCCAAAGTACCTGGACGGTAGTGTTATCAAGCAGAATCCTGATCGCTTTTGCCATTTCCGTTGCGGCATTGAGGTCGTAGTCTACTACACTTCCTAGGTTTATCAATACCGTTGGGGAATTCTTAAGCCATTCAGATAATTCTGGATCTTGTTCTGCGGCCGTTGCTGTGGAAAGAAAGATAGGTCCACATTGGACTACATTCTCGGGAATGATGTCGAGAGGATATTCGAGTTCTTGAGAACTTTGGGATATCCATGGATAGTCTTTGTGATAGACGGTGAAAAAATCCAAGGGGTTTGCGATTCCATTTTCTTTGAGATATGCGCGCTTAGCAGCGGTAGTTGGAGCGAGTAGCACGCTGTATGCGAGACGCAGGTTCCTGTATATGTTTGAAGGGATGAGGTGCCAGGGCACTGGATAGGAGAATGCGGAACTTAAACTAAGAATTGTGAGTACAATTTGTGTCAGAAAGTTCGAATCGCTTACACTGGATATTTCCAAAGTACAGCTCCCCAAGGTTGATACTTTGCAAAACTATCTTTCAGAGTGTTTGGTGAGATAATAACATGATTACGTCCCTGAGCTCTCACAGCATCAACGCCAGGACCAAACACTGGATCCACAGCCACAATAACCGGATCTACGGTATCCAATATATCAGAGATCTCTTTGTAGATATCAAGATAAGCGGGAGCTGTCCATGGCATCACCATTTTTTCCAGATTGCTGCAGAATCTGTTGAAATCGGCGAGTGATGGTGAGTTGATCGCCGAATCAACTTTGAAGCCACCCCCGTTCAAAGATTTCTTGAATGATGGCCCTTTCAGTTCGTGGAAAGTAATAGTTCTTTCACTTCCTGTATTTAGTGCGAAATTAGAGATGGAAGTAATATCATCCTTTAGCTTGTCAAAGGTTGCGAAATGAATATCAAGATCATTGAATTCCGTGAGTAAAGCATGACTAGTTGCCAAGAAGACATTTGCGAATCCATGTTCACTATTTGTGACAAACAAAACAGTGTTATTCTTTCCACGCTATTTTCCAATCTTTTTAGCGACGTGATTTTCTTCGCTCTGTGTTGACGTTCCGGCATATAAATATGCTATGTAGGCAAAAGCTGCCGCGAGAGAAAAGTAAAAAGGTCTCTTGAACATGTTTTGTCGTGATGAATGAAAACGAGCATGCAAAAAGGTTGGTCGAAACTTTAGAAAATGTTGGTGTTCCCTCCTCGCTTTATGACTTTTGGGGGTTATGTATTTATTCATCACCTGTTGAAGATCTACTGTCACCTATCTTTACGTGGAGGCTTATCTGTTGCATATCATGTACTCACATGCCTAGTCAGTTAAATGAGCTGTAAAAATCGAATCTTGGCTTGTGTGTGGTGTATTTATTTGGAGCCCATATTACTTTTCCGAGATGGTGATACTATGGTATTTCGTAAAGCAACTGGCGATGACTGATCGACCATTTCGCTGGTATCTCATTCTACCACGTCTGCATTCTTTTCCCTCAAAAGTACGAGGTAAATCGTCCACCGAAAGGGAGCCCCATGTATATTGATTGCAAGATTATTTGACCGTGAATTTTGGGTTAAATGGTGAGCAGTGTTTATAAAGCTGCGGCTGACAGATTCAAGCTAAAGCACTCATTTGATTGCCCAAGCCAAACGGGGGCCTGGGGCACCATGAGCCGTGATCTGACAATTTTTTGAGATGATATGCATGTACAGCGCGAATGAAGAAAGATCTCCGAATTAAGGTTGGCCATCGGATCTGATACCACATGTAGGTTACTCCATGATAAGCCTTGGAGCCATTGAGGAAAAATGGTAGCACAAACAAAATCATTCATTCTCTTTCAATGGATGCACACTTGCAGCTTCCAATCATCTTTGTAAAGAATTGCACAGTTGGTATGTATGCCTCAGAAGTTCCCATCTGAAAATTTTGAATGTTGTAGGTGGTACCTAAGAAGGTACTCGGAATTAGAAATTTTTGTGGTAAAGTTTGAGGTTTTGACAAGTGATGATGATTCAGGGTTTTGACGCTAGTATTATTAGGGCGTTCAGGCTCTTATTTGAGAATTCCACGCGCGCGGAACATTTTCGGTCAAAGAATCCCTCAACATCACAAGAAACAATTCTACTATTTTTGACATATAGGAAACTGATTTTTGAAGATCTCAAGTCAGACTAATGTTCATTCTTGCTGTCTGAGGATGATTGTATGGCCTTTTGCTGCCCAAAACTTGTCTCTTTCCAGCCATTCAGTCAAAGCAAAATGTGCTCCCGCTAGGGCGACAAGCTGCATAACACACAATCTTTTCAATCTGTATCTTATTTCTAACTTCTTTCAATCTCGAGGATGTTAGAATCTCTCAAGTATCTTGCATTAGCTACCTATCAATAACTGTGCCAGACCTCCCCATCAGCCAGCAAGGCTTATTCAAAAGACTTTCATATAGAGCCGCGGCTATTCCGAACCCAAAGAAAGCTAACTTCTCGTGTACCTTACCGTGGGTAAATATCCAACAACATCATAGTCATATCTAATCACTCTATAGTAGAAATTCTACATCGAGATCTTGCTCGTTTGATGAAGCTAAATCAACCCTGGAATCCCTCCCCCATGCTTCCTCGAAAGCATTCAAAGATGCAAAGACGCAAAGAAGGAGGGCATCTCCACCAATGAACATGAATCTCTTGGGAAAGAAGGCTGAAAATCGTTGCTTGAACGCTATTCTTCTCCCAATTATATAGTAGACCTTGACATGGTCCAACGGTGGCCTCTCACGATGACGGTGGAGTTGTCCATTCAGGCTATTCCTTAATGAGTTACGCGAAGCGTCGAGGACAAGAAAACTCAAACGAGCCTGATATACAATGTTTACATCTTTACTATTGTCCTTACAAGAGTTTTCGATTGGAGACCTCGTGCGCCACCTGAGCAATGAAGTCGTTGATTTATACGTTCGGGAAGAAGTTGCTCTTAGTGGGTGTTTTTCTATGGTACAGTTGGCACGATGCTATCTTTCTTCGAGATTACTAAGGTTGCTTTTGATAGCCTCAAGCCCAACCGGTTAGATGATATTGACTAAGGTGAAGCTGGTTTCTCGGTCATAGATTTGATATTGGTTTAAATGTCACACATGATTATTCAGGTAATTCTCCACTCAATTATTTTGGCCCATGCTTTCTTTTCATATCATTAAATAATCCTGAGATTCCACCGCTGAAGACGGGAAACTCGTACAAATCAGAAGCATTTCTAATACGGGCCCTCAAAGTGTCAGAGAATTGCCGCAGAATCCTTCGCAGTCCCAGATCATCATTCCATCATAAATCATAAATATCATCCAATTGCATTTCATCTCATCATCCCTTCACGATCAACTCCATTTGCCTCTATGCAGGTGGCAATGGGCAAGTAGTCCAATCCGTGATACATTCAGCCTCTGCAAACAGTCAGCATTGTTACACATCTCATATCATCTAAGTAGTGACGTACCAACACTGGCGACACAAGGTGCGACATCTTCATCTGTGCAACCATGGCCACAACTCTCCAACAAACAGACAGCATAAGCGCCTTGCGCATCAGAACAACTGCATTCCTCCACGCGAACTTGAAGTGCAGCAGGAATCGTTGGACGTGCAGCGACAAGAGTGAGGCCGGCGAAGATGGCAAAGATGGCTGAGAATTGCATGTTGATGGCCTTTTGGGTTCGTTTCTGAATATGAGAGGTGTCTCGTAAAATTGGTAGGTATCCTGATGCTGTTTTTGACCTCGTGTTGTTGATCTGTATTTTCAATATTGTAGTATCACGAGTATTTATAATATTCTTTCTCATATACATTGCCACCCATAATATCTCATATCAGTAGTGCCTTCCCCTTTCATCGGGTTGCGTCTCAGCTCCGTTGTGAACGGCGTATGCATCAAATCGCTGCAATGCATTTACAGCGAATTCTTGGCATCAGTCGATTACGAGAATCTGGATAACATGCATACATACATGGGTAAGTGCCCGGCATACAATTACATAACCCACCTAGAGATAAAGAACTTCCTCAATCTCGGATTTGAACAATCCACAATTGAAAAGGGTTTACTCCAACGATATGCATCGTCATTGTAAATGTCAGCTTGTCGGAAACTTCCGTGTGGATTCCACCAGACTCGAAACTTGATTTGGATATCCGAGCCGCAGCGAGATCGCTAGGCGATTGAAAGATTAATTAAAGTGCAGCATGCACGATATGAGGCGAGACCGTTAAAGAAGGCGATCAATGGTAGGTGCGGGGCCAAGTTTAGTAGATCCATGAATGTTCTCCACCTGCTTCGACGTCACTTTTGTGTGGTTTTTATCTTTGATTACTTGAATATTGGATATTTTCACAACCGTAGTGTGCATGTTGTTCACCGTCTTATTGATTTGTTTGTTATGGGATGATTTCCATTCGCAACAGCGAGTGAAGTCAAAGATGTCCTTTTGGGTACTTACGAGGATACTTGATGCATAGTGCTTATCTCAGTACCATGCATCTGATGCTCAGAATGGACGCAAGTCCGACTAACGAATGAGCAATCACGATTTCCTATCATCCCAAAGTCAAAATTCAGCTGCTAACAATTTGGATTTCACATGCACAAACCAATGTTCCTGAAGTTATATCCTACTTTGATTTACTTCCGAATTGAACCCTTCAGAGAAACCAAACTCTATGGCAAACCTGTTTCTATTTTCTAAGCTAGATTACGCTCAAGACTTCACAGATAATCATGCATTTGTTACTTTTAAATTCGGACTGCAGTCCGGGCTGTCGAGGGCCCTTTTCAACTCTCAATAGTTTGGAAGCTTTGCAGGAGTATCTTTCAATGATTACGTCAAAGTCATCATATGATGACACCAACTAACGACTTCAATCTCATGTCAGAACTTAGCTGCGCGCGGGTATCACACTTAGACTTCAATTTATACTCCACGTCAGCTGAGAATACTTCACGAGGTGTGATGACGAAGAGTCAAATATCATCGATCTCTATCTAACAACAGATTAGAAAGAGTGAGGGATCAGATTGCTTGGAGGTAATTGATGAGATCGATCGACCAACTAGGTACTCGCAAAACGTTACCATTTCTCTCGTCTGAATTTATGAGGAAAGGCCGCCAGTGTGGCTAGATAATCACCAACTCAAACGTGTTCTTAAGATATGTAGCTTCACATTACCAAGATTTGCAGATTGACAAACAAACGGACGTGAGACCTAAAAGGTTTGGAGATTTCATTATTACGTTAGTTCAAAGAGTATTCATTGCTCGCAAGTTGCGAAACTGAATAGCCTCTCGAAACACCACAGCCTCTTTCCTCCAAACTCTACTCCTCCCCATTTGCTATCCAAACATTTTTATCATTGTTTCAGTGGCTTGAAACTCACTCAACCTCATCTCATACTACCTGTCGTCAATGCAGCAAAGACACGCAAAATGAATGAGATGAAGGATGATGTGATTGTAATATGACTAAACACAGGAAATTTCATGCGACAATGCATCCCATAGGAAAGTGTGTTTTTTGCTCTTCGGATTTTATATCCCAGAAAACTTCCATTTGTCAGTCAAAGTGGAAAGAAAGAGGGATTGTTTAACTGTGGTTATTACGAAATTTGTATTCGCCTCTATACATAACAACGAGTCAATGGTGATTTGAACGATCATCCAAAATTACACAACGAAGGGCCCCTAATATACGCCAGTTCTATCAACTTTTCATCTAAAAATTTAGTCCAAACACCGATCTCAATCTCATCAACAACTCTCTCACAAATTATACCGCCTAACTACCCCATGTATTCCTTTTGTTGATTCTCGCGCTCGCCAACGCTATCTCCTCTCTCTTGTTGGCTCCACGATGTCGTTCAGCACAAGAACACACAGAGAACAGAAGCGCTATTAGCGCAAATCCTCCCAGAGAAACAATCAAGAAAATAGTCATGACTGGGCTCTTGGTAAAAGGCTGCGCAAGAAACGGCCTTTTGTAATGCTTATTGATAGCGGCTTCTGAGAGCGCGGCCAAACAGTGCAGCATCGGGGCAGCATTAGAATCAGAAACGTTGGTAATAGAAGTGAGGGAACAGCGCTCGAGAATTCTGGTAACTGTGCTGGTGGTTATGGGGGTTGTTGGACCGTGAGAATAAGGGGGGCCGGACCAGGAGGAGGAAGAGGAAGAGAGGGCGGCTAAGGTGAGGAGAGCTGCCACTGCACGGGGTACGGGTGCCATTTCTTGAGGTAGAGTGGATTTCGTCTTCGTTGAGTAAGAAAGAGTTTTACTGGATGGAGCTTTGTGTGTGATGTTTGCTCTATGGAGTTGCGAATGTAGCAATTGGTTTCGTTAAGAAATGGCAGTAATATGCTTTGACATGAGAATTTATGTGTCTATTAAAATTCGCATAGCTCGAAGTGCACTTACTCCTCTGAAATGATTGGGGAATATACCAACCATATACATGAGACTCAACAATCGGATCCTCTTCTATCATACCAAGACGCTGTCAAAACAAGAGCTTCCTAAGGAACTATTCGGCTTTCTTGGTATCGTTATATCCATATCATAGAGAGGATATAGGAAAGACTACATCTTCCTAAACTTCTTATCAGTATCTTACCAAGAGACTTATGAGAACATAACTCTTATTTCAAGCACAATAGTTTGTTATTACCGGCACATCAACCTTCTAGTAATATTCCAGAAAGCCTATTTTCCCCCGAAGTTCCAATATTCCATCCTGAGAGCATGTAAATCCCCGCCTACCCCAGTTCCCCTAGTCTAGCTATCTTGTAGTCTGTAGATCAAATTGCTACTAAGCTCTTAGCTCTATGCTAACAGAGCACCCACCACGCTAGAAAACTTGGAAGTTGCTTGAAGCTCCATCATCCTTCTTCAGTGGTTCTAGAGGCTCGGCAATCATATAAAATGTGGAAGAAGTACCGAAAGCTGGAGATTAGGGTAACTGATGACGTGCATCAAAACGCGCGTGACATGGCAGCGGAGACTATTCTAGCAGTAGCGTGTTTAATGTTGTAATTGATCAGTAAGTCATGATTTGTGGTGATCAAGGCAGTTGTGGTTGGAAATTTTGCTATATAGGTCATGGTGTGATGATATGAAATGGATAATATCCCGCAGATCAAAAGATTCTCCTTCCAGTAACATCAATCAACAAACGGTTTACAAATCTCCCCGAACTCAAAATACAGTACAATGAATCAACGCCTTAGCTCCAAGCTGCTACGACAACATTCGAAAATATACTGAAAGCTTTCATTTGTTCTTGTTAATGCACCATCTACTCGTACTTCCGACTACTTTGCTAGCTCTTTGGGTCTTATATAGATTGAGATTGGACGCATCGAAGCTAAGACATGATGCTATACACGCATGAGGCTTTGATTTGCTGTGCCGTGTCATTATGACTATCGAAACTGTACTATGCATCAATTGTCTGTAAAAATTCAAGATATGAAGTTTATGAGCAGACACTTGCAAGTTGTAATCGACTACTTATGTCCGAGGCAACTTGTCCCAAGGGTGAATTATGGAGAGTCTTCACGCACGGTAAGAATTAACAACGACGATATTTGCGTCTAATCAACGAGATATCAGGAAGAAACAAGGTTTGAACGAATGTGTGAACGATGGCTTTGTATGATGAAGCGATGGCAAAAAATGAAGCTCCACGCCTTCACTAATGGTTTGAGAAAGAGGGTGGGCGAATAGAAGAGTTTCTCGAGTATTTAGTTAATGACATGTACGTCTACATCTTGTACGTCGCATAGTGATGCCGTACTCATAACTCGAGAGATGACGACCATCGGCCGTACCGAAGGACACGATGAATAATTACATAGATTTTGACTATAGAGGACCCAGGCCAGTGGAATACATGTATTATTGACTATGTAGATTGAATTGTCTAAAGCTAAAATCTAAGATCGAAGTGGGAGTGATGTCATATATATGTAGCCCAAGCGCACGTGCCAAATCTGTCCAATAATGGAGCTTATAATCGAAGTTTACGACCCTAGCCGCTAGCGTAACCCATCGATACAGCTTCCATCCTGATTAGCTGGCTAGTTGTATTGTATATTCCTCTTCGTGCATGTTATAAACTCTCTCTTTCTCTCTCATTCAGATTCTCTAGACCTACATTTACCTCTATTACATAGCAACTTCGATATTGTATCTACCTCAAACTTCTAAACAACAAACACCTCACCGATTCATAGCCAATTTTACAGCATGTCTGTCGCGTTACACAGTCCCAAAACATTTCATCGCTTCAAAGATTTTCCAACCGAAATACAAGATTGACGAAGAGATTGAGAATCTCACAGAGGGTCGCATCATCAAGGTCATGCAGCGGAAATTACAGCAGACCATTCGGCGATGGCAGGAGATTAATGAAGATTCTCAATCGATTACAGACCCCTTGTCACGAGCTATGGAGCCTTTTCGAAATATCAATTCTGATGCCATGATACCTCCCCTCGAACAGAGAACGCTTGATCGCGGATTGAACTGCCATATGAAAGAACCGTAAAGAGATCTGGATGAGAATTTAATCGGCATGTATTTGCCACAGTCTCTACCCCCTAATATTGCTGCACTATTGTCAGTGAATCACGATTTGAGAAAACTCGTGGAGAAGGAATATTCCTTTGCTTGTTGAATTGCAAAGCCAATGGTATTCTTTAATTTTGAGATAGATACTCTATTTCTCCGTTATTCAGACATTCACATTGCCTACAAAGATCTGATGTTCGCCAGATCACTGATTTACGGGCTAGATGGTGGGAGACGGAAAGATTGGGAAAAGGTCAAATTCTTAGCCATAGAACTCCCGGTTGACTATTTTACAGGAGTGGGTCGAGAAACCGGATCGGACATCGACTTCCAAATATTCTTATCGATTAATTTCTGTTATTTCACTGGTCTGAAGCAATTTACCGTAGTATATTATGACTACTCTGGACAAAATGATGACGACAATCTGACTTTTTTTGAGCCAATCTGTCTTGAAGACGCAGTTTCAGTTTTGCGTCGGGGATTTGCTGAAATCTTACAAGAATTCGAAAGCTACAATCACCCTCTGGCTCCAAGACTTATACACTATGATTATCTTAAATATCTACTTCGAACATATTCGACATATGTAAGAAGTGTAGAACGAGATACAGGAGCGCCTTTTAAAGCTCCGGCGGACGAATCATTGTTCATAAAGGTTGTTATCGGACCTAGCTGTCAGAGAATCTTGGAGAATGCACGCCAAGATTACCTTAGAAGTAAATCATGAATGCAGTCGATGGTCGTTGAAGACAAACTGCGAAAGGACATAGGGAGATGAAGGGACGAGCAGAAACATCATTGCCAAAGCTTGATGAAATACATGCTAGAGAGTCGAACATGAGTCTTGATATACATCCATATTAAAGTCGCATTCGGCTAGTAGGAACTGGGTGAGAAAACAGCAATATGCCTGCTTGCTGTGAAAGGAAAGACAGTGCGACAGCAGGAATTGGCAGTACGATAGCACAATTAAATTACTTCACCCATGAACCATTTAACTACTGTGATGTAATTTTAACAGTAAGTGAACAGTAATATATAGATCAGGCTTAGTGTATCGTGGAAAAAATAGTCTTCGAACTTTCAACATCATGTAGCACACTATAGAAAATACGCACCGGCGCCAGAACACTTGTATGATTTACGTATTCACTGGCTTGAAGAAGTGATGGATAAAATTAGGATTCTTTGCTGTATTCAAGATTCAACAATCACAGCTGTTCCCTTCCATTCATGCTATCTAAGGAGATGGATCGAGACATCAGGTAAATGCTCCGACCAGTACAGATCATAAAATACTGGTTATATATCAGAGCTGGGTCTACTTTGTATCTTGTGAGCCATCTCCTTGATCTTCAGAATCAAGTACGCATGAACCTCAGCTTCTACCAAGTGTCTAATGTACCTCTCCAAATTACTCAACAGTACAACTGATCTCAACCCTGAAAGACAAAAACCAATGATTCCCCTCAAACAGACACCCCGTCCATATCGGACTACTAACCACAATACTATCACCCCCACAATCAAAAGAAGTAAATCCATAAACTATTCAACCACCATATCAGCACTCAAGTCAAATACAAACATCAAATACACATGTACGTACTAGTAGAAATGCATCCAGGAACAGTAATAGCTGCAGAAACTGATTGTGCGCCAGGTAAAGGAAGGTTAGTGCATGTTCCGTCTGTGGGTAGAGTTATCTCTTCATAAGGAACGGAACATGCAGAGTCGTTCCAGAGATTGAGTTGACTTTCTGAAATTATTGCAGTGGTTGGGAGGGCGGCGGTGGCGGCGAGGCTAAGGAAGAGGGATGTCAAGACTAGAGTTTTGGAATGCATTGCTGAGGTAATGATGTCGCTTTTATAGATATTGAGCGTTGGATAGTGAGATTGGAAATGTAAAGGGAGAATTGTGGGATGAAGCATTAGGCTCTTTATATAGCACTTTACAAAACTCTGTAACCTAGTCTGTTTATACAATGCTGACCTCAGGAGGCGTAGATAAAGAAGACACGGGTGCGCCAACGCGAACAAATCATGTACATCATCTACGAGCAGGGCAAACTTCATGAACATACGAACAATCCAAGGGGCCAAATGGTCTTGTAATTACTGTTGGTTTGAGATTGCAGATTCAAGTTAATCCAACAATTGACGGATACAACTAATCACACCACCATCATGGTTACAAAATCACTCGCCACGTTTTTGCGGCTCGTAAGACCATATTTATACTGCTGCTTACAATCCTTATGTGGAAATGTGTGAGTTTACATGGGCTTAGCGACGAACAGGTCCCCAAGTTGAGATAAGAACCCATAGTACGAGAGAAAACTGCGGAAATTTAGAATGATGTCAGATCTTTCTTGAAACCATTATAAACTACATGAAGTATTTGACTTCCTGATGACGTTTATTCTCATGTTCCTCAGATTTAGGAAGATAGAATCAGTATAGACTCAATTAAGCAGTCCCACGCGTCAGAAATTGAACGTAAGTTAACAAAGCCGAGAAAAGACATCAACTGAAAAACATCAAGCCTTTGCAGAGAGCTTAAAAAAGTTTTACTACCAATTTTCTTCAACGTCCAACGTGCTTGATGATTCTGCTAAAATGCGGTACAGTAATAGCGAAATGATGACAAACTATCCGATGACAGGGAACCCGACCAATGGTTACGAAAGTCTTGGATACGAGCTTACTGAGCTACCTAGCCCCCGAAAGGCTTACATCTCGGTACTTCGGTTATGATCTGGTCTTGCAAACCATGGAAAGAGAAAAGGAACTGGAGTCTAGACGCTCATATGAATGCGCATCATCATATGAAGAATCTACTAGAATCATGAAAAACATATGTACACCAAACTTCGTTTCATTACTTTGATCGTCTCGCTTCTCATATGTCGTATACTAAAGGTAGGAAGGCCTCCTTCTATCCTAGTGCGTGGCAAACGTATACTCATTGAGACCTCCAACGATGATCGTTGATCAAAAGAATGTACCACTGTAAGCTCCTGCGAATGCTGCAGCAACCAACTTTTGAACCGCCTGACCAGGATGAAAACTGTTCCACCACAAACAACTCACTCCATTGGTGTTATAACAAACTGCATTTGGAGAACCATAAGCTGTTGGGTTACTGAGAGCAGTGTTGAAGGGAATCTGTGAAGATTTGTGAGTTTGGTACGTCAAATAAGCTTGGAATCTTGACGTACTGAAGTATCAATCACTTTGACAGTAGTCCCAGATCTTTCGGATTGGAACTGAGTGGCCGTGTTTTTGACAAGAGTATTCCACGCTGCAATGCTTGAAGCGTACGCCGCTTGTGAAGTACTATTCAATGCTAGAACTCTGGGGGTTTTGTTGGTAGCTATTCACTCTAGTCAGTTCTCGAACCAAAATCGTTGAATCAAACACCAGGATAGAGACTTACGTGGGACTGTCAGCAATGCAAAATTTCTACCTCCATAGTAATACATTATGTCAAGCTGCTTCCAGTAGGTATCGAAGATCTCCGTGAAGAGTGTACTCTCATTAGAATATGTATAACTGAGATCAATATCATTGATACCAAACCATACAGCGAAGAGTGTATTTGCCGAAGTCCATGGGGCATATGAAGGTTTCGGTGCAAGATTAGCAGTGAAGATTGCGGTTTGTTCGACAAGTGATTTAGCACCATTTGTAATGGAAGGAACGACATTGTTATCCACTGTTGAGCCTCCAACAGCAAAATTATACGATAGTGTCAAGGAGGTATTATATGCGGTGACCAAATAATCAATCCAATTGAGACCCGCGTCTGTTGTAGTGCCCGGAAACGGAGGGTTTCCGATAGGATTGTCTGCAGAAGGCTTCGTGCCAGTTATCGAGAAGAGTGTTCGTGTATACGAGTCACCGCTAGCAATATTTATTAATACTGTCCCCCAAATAAAGTTGGATTACTCTTACAAGGAAAAAAGATATTTGGTTCCTGTTGCTTGTCTAGGCGAAAAGGAGTTCAGGAAAGGGAAAGCTATACAGCTATCAACCAATAGAGGAACGACGAACAAATATTGAGGTAACATGGCTCAAACTGTAGTATGAGAGAGCAAATAATAACAACCTTATGAACAAAAAACGGGTGAAGATGTGTGATAAAGTATCTTCACAAATCTGGGCCCCATCGTCAACTACAACGATACCCCGCAAATTTCCCAAATTCTCCGTGGCTCAATGGCGAAATACGGTTCCCGCAACAAAACTATACCGAAAGCTTACTTATTGGGTAAATTCTGATTGGGACGGAAGGACTATTAATGTCGCAATTGAATTATAACTCCATTGAAGATTTCCGGTAAAGAAAAACATGCATGGTGATCGATCTGAATAAAACACGGTAAAATGCAATGTGAAAACATTGGCAGAAGCTGAAATAGTATTGGGAAAATGCATATCAAAACATGACGACCAGAAATAGTACCAAGTATCGCTCCATGAGCAATTGCGATTAGCATTCATCTTCATGACTTTGGACTACTGAGTATATGGAGACAATTTGCGTTTACAGCGCGTTGTCGTCTCATAAAACTCTGAATACCTAGCTCCAATCGTAAACAATCAATTCATGGACATTATTTGCTTGGCGGAATAAGGGACCATATTACATGGTGACAAGCTTGGAAGCTATCGTGATCCAAAGTAAAGAGATTAAATGATGAAAATGGCGATAACAATGGCGACGATGATGGCGATGAGATTATGATGATGAAGATGGGCAGTCGTTGTGAAATTGCTATTCTCAAATTTTAGTGTTACAAACGCGGGAGTAGCCTAAATTTTTAGCTCATAAACCCTGATTTAGCGCCCACCCTCAGCGAAGTCTTTCAACCTCAATGTAATAACTTTCATTAGTATCGATGTCAATACCGATGTTCATTTGAGAAATAACGTCTTTTAAGTCTCTTTCAAAGTTTACATTAAATAAGATACGTCGATGGCAGGTCGATAAAAAGAAGGTTAATATTTCACACAATGCGAGTATAAGATGCTTTTCTTCCTCTTCTCGTCGGTGCTCATTCTTCTAAATATAATGATGTTGTTACAACCATTAGCTGACTTAGCAATAGTAAAATTTCGATCTATAGGTTATGATGTCATGAAAAGAAGTGTGAGTTATTAGTGATTAGGGCTATACTTACGCTAGGTCTATCACGCTCAAAGGGTCTAGCGTCACCTCAAAAATTATTGTATGTGTCATAGGCCAAGTAAGTGTGAGGAATTCTCTATTGCTAGATCGTTTTGAGTGATTATGATTCTGGCAAGTTCACGGCAGCGGGATCTCAGTTGTTTCTGGTTTTCAGACACTTCAAATTCCATTTTTATCGGACAAAAATCATCCAATCACCAGGGCCAATCATTGATTGCCATTCCATCCAAACCACAGCCAAACCATACATCGCTCCATCTCAAATCAAAAAGCACCATATCCTCTAAACCCAAACAAGGACTTCGGATGACCCATAGGCCACAAAAGTGCAAGCTTAAGCACAGGCGGTACAAACAGCATTGACAGCGCTCAAGACTTCAAGTGCGACGGTAGCTCCACAAGCGGCAATAACACAATTGGTAGCATCAGTCTCGATCTTGGAAAAGGTGGCAGCTTCGCATTCACAAGCGTAGTCGGTTCCCGTGCAATATGTTGCAGCGGCTGAAGTGATGCAAGGAGCCTATGATAAATGTTAGATGGTGAATTGAGGATCGACACAGAAAATCAAGCGAGAAAATTCATCAGATAGATTTGAGCGAAGGGGCGATATTGCAGAGGTCAATATATCTAAAGTAAGGAAAGAGATGACTTACGCCGCAAGCAGGCACAGCGGCCACAGCTGCTGTACAAGCAGCACTTTGAGCTGATACGACGGAGGCAGCTCCGAGAACAATAGCAGCGTATGAGAACTTCATGATTCTGATTTGCAAAGAAGATTTATGTGGTGAATGATGATGCTGTTGTATGATTATACTTTTAGGATTGCGCAATAACAGATGATCAAGGTGGAATTTCCAACCCTTTTATAATTCTTTTTTTATATCATGGTCTGACTTCCCCGAGTCATTAGCAGTGAGCAAGCTCTGCGAGCACAGGAAATCCAAATCTTGGCATCAAACGGAAAGGGATCCTAGACGTGAAAGTGCGGAGTTCCTGGTGCATTTAACCGGGGGTATGCATTAGCTGTTGCGGATGCGGGGAATCCCTGAACTATAACAGCCCCCATAATTCTGTTCCTGAAAGGGACATATAATGAGGGGCCTCAAGGAGATTTTCCTCGGTACTCACATGTTTCATTGAAGATTCCAGCATGTGAAATACTCACAGACCAGGATTAGATGGCTTATACGACTCGAAGTGACGGAACAAACTTTCAGCCGATTGAAATCGCATTAAGGAGCTTCCCAATGCTAACAGTCGTGCATAGTCATACATATTAACATAGCGAGTAATACGATTGTATGTGTAAGATCAACAGGGAAGCTTGAACCCTTGTCCAAAGATTCTAACTTTCAGAAATACTGCGGATTTTATTTATCACCACTTGCTGATTGTGGATAGCTGGATGGTGGGATAGGTGGTCAGATTGTCCAAATTGGCTCAACCTTCAAATACCCCGCCATTAATGGGTTTGCACATGAGATATGTTGACGGCGCTACGTACTGGCAGTGATTGGTTACTTGCAAGACAGTAAAGTTCGAAGGCATGGCTTTGTCAGGCTATTCGCAGGGAACCAAGATGAGATATCACCATAGTTAGGTGCCTTCCCCGAGTTCTGAATAAACCTTCCATCTTTGAACAAGAGCGAGGTTTTGACATGACTCCTACCGTATCGGCATCTATCCGCACTTGAACAATATGTAGATTAGGCTACAAGTACAATCATGGTAAGAAGGTCACAAGGTACCTTCCTTCAGTTCTTATTCTGGTATAATGTTATGTCAATCTTTCGCCGGTGATTTTTGCGGGATGTGACATGCTCAGGGTTCCTAGTAATGAATCCTTTGCAAATTTATAATAACCTGGAAGTTTCGACCACATCTGAAGGCTTCATCCGATGAAAGTCGTGAATTCAAATGGCACCTAACCTTGGAGAATAGATCGGCCCCGATAACTCACAACGTCATTATATTGAAGTCTAAGCCGGGGAGCTATCGGAACTTCAAAGCTCTCTAGCAAATTGTTGGATAGAAATACAGACTATGCTATTCATTTGGAAAGTCGACACCAATGATCACTTACATTTATCCAGCAAGCATAATGTATGTAATATGAATAGACAACGAACGAATTATACACCAATCACGCGCGAAACCCCATGTAAACTGGAATCTATAGAAATTTGAGGGTTCAGATGGATCGTGGAAATCATTTCCATACTAGCAGAAATGAGTCCCGAGGCATTTTGAACTTGAAGAAGACCATGTGAAGCAATATCCCCAACGGAAGTATTGATGCGAAGATATGCATAATCCTAAGCGGAGTAGACAAATCTAGAATTGGTATCTTGGGGCAAGTTTTGAGAGACATTCTCCACCCGATGTGACGATAAAATGAGAGTTTGAAAGCACTTGCTAGGCCACACCCAAAATAGAAGTTATTCTAAAAAAACAGAAATGAGAATTTATCACCTGAGATGATTGAGCTCAAGTGGAAGGTGACTACCTGTCGAGACTTCGTGCGGTCAGATTGAGATCGACATTATTCACGACAGCAATTTGACTTCGCGAAGATGCACAAGATAAATGATGGCGGAGGATGAAGACGACAGGATTTCCATCTTCTTGCTCGTCTTATTTAGGGACTACCATCAAGGACATAACAGTTTCGATCTGCCATATCAGACGTCTGACATGGATTAAAACAATTCGTGTAGACAATGCTTGACTGTAATGCCATCTGGATAATTCTCATCTGTTCTATGCCATCCATTTTCATCTCGCAGTTATTGAATGAGGTTGTGGAAGTTATCAACTTATGAATCGCATCTTGAATTACTGCTGATCAAGTGTGGAAACGAAGATACATCTCATTGCAGGTAGCCTTGTCCAAGAATGGAGGTCATGATGATGAGCGCGATGCCAAATTAGTAGGTATCGCAATCCAAGAGATGAATTGCGATATCTTGATACGTTTTCGTTGTACAAGGCTGAGAGCCACATGCTATATGGGCTCATGGAACATAGATGAGTTTGGATTCTGCAAGCCAGCCTCTTTCGACGTTTATTCATTTATTCTCTAAATTTGTCTATCAATTGATTTAAGATAAAAAAAGAATGAGGTATTCAACTTGGAATCAAATCATTGCTGCTAAGTACGAATTTTGTAAGTGATGAGTCAGTCCGTGCACCTACTGAAGGCTTCAATTCGCTGACTCAGCATTGCAACTATTCAACCTCACAACTTTCACGACATCTAGGAACTAATTGAAAGATAGGTAGTTGAATTTTTATCATCGATTTTAAGAAATTATTGGCGATAACCACATGAGCTGACTACACCACATCTCATCGCTCCTTCATGTCAGCGACAAAATCTCCTAAAATAATGCACCCCCTAATATGAACCTCAACCACCGTCCCCAACGATGCATCCTCATTCCTCAAATTCGCCAACTCATACATTATTTTTGACCCTACTCCTAAGAGAATTGATCGTATCTTTGGCATAGCCAATATCCTCATGAGCATTCTTCTATAAGACTCGTCCTTTGGAGATACTCACCGTCTCATCACCAGAGTGCGAACTCTTTGAAGTTTCTCGAGTTCACCCAGAAACGGTATCAAGACTTCATCGAAGCTTCTGACAACATTTTCCAAACTACTCGTAGTTTTGCAAACATCCATATCCGTATCTAATACAAGTTTTCTTACGCCTGTACAAAATTTGTTGATAAAGGGGATGTATATGCGCAAGTTGAGTAACAGATCTACGCCGTGACAATGGCACCCCAGGGGTTCCCGCTCATGGGTTTTTGGAGAGCCTGTGAATCGTAAAGTGTGAATTGAAGGTTTACTTCTAGGTCCGATTGTGTAGAGAAATCGGATGAATGGATCGTAATAAGCCCAGCCCTCCAACTTAAGAATTGGGACACCCCTCTCAATCTGATTCATGACACGTTTGATTTTGGATTTATATTGTCTAGCCGACAATTTTTTGACCGTGAGACCGCTGGAGATACCCTCTTGGGATAAGGTAGGTTTATCGGGACTTGGCCAGTGGTAGTTGCTGTCCTCGAATAACAAAGAAGATGGACTGTCATAAAGCATGATGCTGTTGCCCTTCATCTTGAAGCTGTATGCATTATCTGCATATAATATTTGTGATCCAAGCTCCCATAGTTGCTTGCAAGTACGTAAACATGTTGCATCTATAAGAGGACGAAGAACTCTTGTAAGCTCAACGTACGGAGCTGAGTCAGGAATGTCTGGTCTAAGACATACGTTCTTGCGAAGGATCACATCCGAGCCACTCTCGAAAGACTTGTAGCCGTTATAACAAGGAGAGTTTGGGAAAGAAATTCGATAATCTGCTTCAAAGTATGGTTCACAAAAATTGGAAGTTATTACTGTCGGGGTAACAAACGCTCCGCCTGTAGCAACAAGTGTGTAGGCGAAGATCCTCTTCAAAATTTCTGGTCTAGATTAGAGATTAGAGCTTTCTGAAGTAGGGTCGGGAACATACCATTTGGAAAATTGGAAATATGGAACCGATGAGTTCTCGGAAGATTCCATCCAGGCCCGCTTTGATGGGTGCCTAACAATTTTCGAATTTCCTCAATCTCATTTGAGATTTGATCGACGTCTTTAAGTGGACGAAAAGCTCCGGGATAGAAAGGACCTCTGAATGACAATTTAGGATTACCTTTTTGGGCGAGGTAAGATTTTGAGCTCCAGCAGTTTGCTTTATCATGAAAATAATAGATATCTTCTAAATACGGATGATTATTAGTAGTGTCATTTCAGAATCGGTCAGAATACTCACCAATGTTGTAACAGTACAGTACGCCGTTGACCGTGAAAGGTAATTACGACAACCATCTTTCATGATCATTCTGAAGTTCGATGTAGCATGTGGTGCCCGTTCTCCCCGACTTACTATCTGGTTTCAACTGATTAAGAATAGCTTTTTTCATTTTAGTGCTGCGTTCCACTTCTGGATACAACGTTTATAACAATTCTTTCAGGTCAAGTTTCGCAGGAAATTTGGGAAGTAGTAATTTTCCAACTGGTATGATATTCCTACGCGCTTCTTCATCGGCAGGTGGGAGTTGAGTTTGTTTTTTGCATCCCGGATCACCCATGGGATAACAAAAACTCATGCGTCGTGACATTTTAAGAGATTTGTGATGTCGATGTTCGAGTATTTGAAAAGTTTATTGGAGCTTTCAAACTCAATGAGAAGTGGTGATTAACGAAAGAGGAGTTTCTAGGAAAAGGGACAGTGTTGGATATCTTTGTAGAAATGATGTTGCAGGTGCAGAGTACTGCAAATGTTGAAAGCTTAAGGATATACTACTGTTCATTGACTGATCATTATCTGAAAGTTCCAGTACATGCAGTGAATACGATATAATTACAGTGAGGGCTCTGTATAAGAATTTAGTTCAAATTTGATACCCATTGAAATCACTTTCTATTCCATCATGACGTCTCGGCTCTATTGCCTTCAAATTAAGCCTTTTGATCTATATCTCCAAGGCCAATTTAATTATCGCCAGACGGGTCAAAATTTGTATTATCTATATTGAAAGCTCACCCTGTGAGCTTATTCGCTAGAGGTTCCTTCCTATACATAAAGAGAACGACCATAATACGCTTCTTCTCATATTAAAACCCCGAATATCTTCGCCGAGCTTGCAACCCAAAGAGTCACCAATACCAGTCAGCTGAGTGCACAAGCACTCCAACATCAAGATACAATAGGTTATTTAACTTCACATCTGTGCCCTACTAAGATTGTACCCGAAAATACTGTAAAAAATACTACAAATGTAATCTTACTTGCTGAGAAGCTTACTGCCAACATGAGACCACAAAATCAGAGAAAGGTTGCAAACTACCTACAAAACAACAGACAACAACATTCGACGTTTCCCCTCAAACACTAAGGGAAATAATCCCCATATACAAACCAATTCTTGATCTGACGCGTGGATAAGCAGGTCCGTTGCACCGAAGAACCAACTTCATACTGACACACATACATCAAAAACTACAAGTATCGATCAAGACATGTGGTATGGGAAATAAACCGCAGGTTACGAAGCGGTATTAGCTCACGGAATTCTCAGAATATTCAGTGAGAAGTATAACAAAACTTTCCTCAATTGTTACTTAAAATGACTGTTAAGAAGATATCACATCCTTCATACTAGAATCAGGTATTTGCGAGTAGTAATGCTTCATCGAATAAAACAATGAGCAGCATTGGGGACGCACATCTAAGACTACTATCAAGAACAGCAAGAGACGTGAAATATAACATTTTCATAGAGATGCCGAATCGAAAATATCACCCTACGGAGGAGATCCTCACTACCCAGCATATATGGCCAGCAAAAATTGAAACACACAACAGTAGTAACCATTAGCGATGCTTTTTGAGCATCGCGCATCTGAATACACTGTGCAAAAACTTCCAAGTTTATGACATCGCTTATCCTCCTCCCCAACTAAGGAATATAGATATATCGGAAATCACACCACCAAGCACCAATCGAGTGCCCTTTCCAAATTCATCCATCCTTCCATATACATAACCCCCCCAATATCCATTTCCAAGCTCCGAGCTCCGAGTACTCAAATCTCAAAAACAACAACCAAACTAACCCCTGACGCGAAAAAAGAAGAAAAAATAAAAATATCAAGACTTAAGAATCATGGGCGCAAGAGAATCCATTCACCAGTTCCGTTGGAACATTTCTAACCTGACATACCTGGTCGAGAAAGCGACAGAATTCCGAGATCTTACTCAACCTGATCTTTCCATTCTGGAATTATATTAATAAGAACCTTAAGAATGCTGATGTGCTAGTGAAGGAGGAGTTTTATGAGTAATAGGAATAGGATGAATTATTCTATGAAAAGACTCCTGTTGTGAACTGTATTGCAGACTCTGTGAGGAGTCTACCAATCAGAATGAAGTATTGAATGGAGTAAATGCTGTTAAGTAATCTACCGCAAGCTCCGTCAAATATAACAAGATCAAGCAGCAAAAGCCCACGAAACCCTACACATAAACTCTGACAAATCCCCCAATGAAGAGTGTGCCAAAGATACTGACGAGCGCTCCAAAAGAAGCAATTGAAAAATCCCAACATGATTGCCAACAATTGAATCCAGTTTACAAATTCCCAAACTAACACAAACAAAATATGTTTTCCTTAAAGCACTCTACATAGTTCTAGCAACCACCCAGAAAACACCATAAATAGTGACAAGCGCGTTACGACACGAAAATAGAGAAATATAAGCGAGTGAAAAGGAGTGATGACAAGGGGAACAGTGGTAGGGGAAGCGGAGATTCTAAGATAGATCATCCTTATTTACACCTATTTCGTTTTATCACTTCGTTATGAATCAGGTCATTCCAGTTCCAATATTCGAAAAGAACTCAGCGACTCAAAGTTTTTGAGCAATCGAAGTGTATTCATAGTTTGGACCATTTGAATCTTCTAATCGAATTCGATACCTAGGTAGTTTAACTGAATTCAGAAATCCAACCCATCTTAACTCTTCTCACATCCAGCAATATGAACCATTCAAATATGCACAGTAAATCTATCTTTGGGAATTAGTTGGTTATTCTACCTAATCACATTGAATCACTCTGATTATTCAAACGGTCAATACGCCCCCAAGAGTCCAAACCATTCGAATATTCAACCTAAATTTAGTAATCTCATCATATTCATTCAATCGCTCCGAGAATGTGAACCTTGGGAACAACAATCTAAATTCACGGAAACACTTTGGATAGGTATTCAAGTCGAATTCAACACTCACCCCATCCAAATACTCTTATCAATTTCCTGCGTTCTTAGTTCCTCACTCCTCACTCCTCACTCCTCACCTCTCATCATCAATTCAACTCCTATACCTTCTAGCTTTCGAATCCCCGATCCCCCACCCTCTCTATTCCCTCACTTCTCTATTCTCTCACTTCTCAACTCCCTCACTCCTCAACTCCCTCACTTCTCAACTCCCTACCTGATCACTCAGCCACTCAGCCACTCAGCTCCTCTAACTTCCACTTTCGCAATTCCCCAATTCTTCACTCCTCACTCCCCACTTCCCGTCGCTCCACTTCTCTATTCTCCATCATCTAATCCATCATTTCTTATTTCACACCCCTCACTCCTCAATTCTCGCTCGCTTAATTTCTCAATTCCTCAACACCTCGACACCTTGATTTCTCAGCTCCGCAGCTCCGCAGCTCCTCTGTACCTTTTTTTTAAAAAATAAAAAAAAATTAAAAAAAATTAGATTCCCCACACCCCCCACCCCCTACCTCCCAAACCATCATCACCAAGCTCCTCAGATCCTCAGCTCCTCAAATTCTCCACTTGTCCACTTGTCCACTCACTCCTCCGCTTCCCACATCAACAATCCCAAACCCCACCAATATCAAAAAATCAAGAGAGAAACGAACAAGGAGAGAGAAACGAGAAAAGAGGGAATGCGGTGTAACAAATGGCAAACAATCAAGAAGAACAAGAAGTGCATGAACTCATAAAAAAGTAGAGAATAAAAAATCCTCAATCCTACGAACTTAAGAAACTGAAAGAGAAAGTAGAGGAGAAAACCCCCCATGAAATATCCCCAGCTCACTGAGTAAAGAAAAAATTTCTCTTGTAATAAATCCCTCAAGGTACGTGTGGTTACGAGCCGAACCAAAAGAATCCGACATCAATACCTACCTACCTACCCAGCCAACTTACAAACATAACTCACAACCACCATCAATCACTTCTCAGCATCTACTAGGTATACACACAGTTACACGTGATATATGTTCATTCTACTACCAAAGTATTCATCCACATTAACAAAGGAAACTAATATCCAATATCCAATATCCACCTTCTCCCTTCCCCCTCCCTCCTACCACTCTCCCTACTCGCGCTCCGGGTATCATTCTAGAACTATTAAAGAATATGTATGTATGTAAAAGAACCACTCTAAATATCAGCGGTAATGGTATAAGAATTTTTGAGCTCCATCTTTCCCCTCTCCCCTAAAATATTCTCAAACTCAAAGGTCAAAATTCAAATCGCAATAGAAATTGTAAATAAAAAGAAATGACAAAGGAAATTTTTCTAATCAACGTCCAAATCCTCCACTATAGATTCCCGCCATCTCATCCACTGTACTTTCATCATCATCATAGAAACCTTCCTCACTTCCAAAATCCCCAAGCTCTTCACCTAAGCTCATTCCCAAACTTGGTTGCCCAAGTGAACTTCCACGTCTACTTCCATTACCCAACTCCTCATGATTCGACACTACAGCATCGGTATCATAGCTGCTTCTCGACATCATCGGTGGAGTCGCTGGTGCTTCTCTTCTAACTGGAACTTTATCTGCACGTCTGGGTGTTGAAGTTCTTGAACCAAGTCCACCTTGTCTAGCAGCGAATCGTTGACTTGTAGCGTTGAAAGCACTTAGTGCATTATCCCTGGCGAAAGTGGTTGGTTCCCTACTTATAATGACTGGTGGAGGTGCTCCAGGAGTACTAGGGAACTGTCTGGCACTACTAGCGGGTGGTGTCATTAATCCATTCAGAAATCCAGATGAACTTCCAGCTTTAGATGGTGTTGAGCGACCGCTTGAGGTAATATTGCCATTGCCCCCACTCATGAGAGCACTTGAATCCTTTGCTTGATTCTTATTTCTCCAATTTCCCCAAGCTGCGGCAAGTGGTCCTACGGCATTTGCAACTTGTGCAACTCGTGGACTAGCTGCAATAGAAGCCGCAATATTGGGAAGATTGATAGCTGAGCCACCATTCATAGCTCTTTCACGCTCTTGTTCCTCCATCTGAAGATTGGCACTCAATCGAATAGCGGCATCGCGAACATTGTCTGGATTATATGTTCCTTTAGACAAGGCCTGCACAATATCCTGGAGATCA